GTAGTAGTCGTCGTCGACGTCGTAGTCGCAGTCACAGTCACGGTCGCAGTCGTACTGTAGTAGTTGTGTTGTGGTTGTGGAAGTGGTAGCGGTTGCGGTTGCGGTTGCGGCTGTTGCTGTTGTTGTTGCTGTCGCTGTCGCTATTGCCGTTGCTGTTTCTGTTGCAGTGGCAGCTGCACTTGCAGTTGCAGGTGGTGTTGATGTAGTTGTTGTTGTTGCTGCTGCTGTTACTGTTTTGCTTTTGTTGGCTGTTGTTGTTGTTGTTGGTGGTGGTGTTGGTGGTGGTGTTGGCATCGTCGTCGTTGTTGATGCTGTTGCTGTTGCTGTTGCTACTGTTGTTTTGGTGGTGGCGGTGGTGGTGGTGGTGGGTGTCGTCGGTGACAGTGGTACTGGTGGTGGTGTCAGGTGCGAGGGCGGTAGCACTGCTGCTGGTGGTCTGCCGCACAAATCAGTAGAAGCCCACATGCTACTACTCATTGTCTGACCAGCAGCGCTACTGATAGCAAGCCCTGATCCCGCGATTGTTTGGGAACGAAAGCTCCTGCAAGCACTAGCCGGGCAGGGTATCGGTGCAAAGTTTTGTATTGCTGCAATATGCCATGCTGCAGGGTTCGAGCCTCACGGGTTCAAGATGGTTCGAATATTTAGCGTTTTCAGCTCCAACCCAAACGTTAAACACCACACCCTGTCCTCTGCAGCACGTCGAGCAACTGGTCCTGTGCACGGATGCAGCTTTGGGGCGGAGAGTTTGCATAGGACGCAGGCACAAGGCCTAGTTTGGCATGCAGGCCCGGACTTTTAAATCTTGAACTCTACCAACCCTACCATCCGCTCTGGAGCAGAGCCCCGTGGAAAAGATGGTATGTTCTCCTGTGGCGATGCTCTGACGGTGATCACGCAACTCCGCGAAACACCACTCAGCCCCAACACGTTCCCACTCAAGCCTCAAACGATAAACTGAAAGGCTCTAGTCCTGAACCTGATTGAAGACCATAAATCCAACACACACGATGAAGTCAATAGGTCAATACTCAACATCCCTACACCCCAAATCTTACAAACAGCACTGCCCTAAACGCGAAGCCCGAACCGATGAACCATTACAACTACACCACATACCCTTGAGCGCGCCAGACTTTAAACATCTTACACAATGCTCTAAAACCCAGTGTGCCTTGACTTCCTGGGACTGGCTCTCAAAGCGATGCCCTCTTGGGAACTCGACGACCATACTCGGATCCTCAGCCGCTGTTTTGAAGGCCAGGCTTATTTATAGAGTGAAAAGTTCAAGGGTTGAACTTAGGGGTTTGGGGTTCACGGATAAATTAAAGGTTTTTGGTTATGCCTCGTCCTGAACGGGATCTTAAAACGGATATAAAACATGGCGGTTCCTGCTGCAGCATCTACAACAATAACAGCAACTGCTGCTTTTTTACCAGCAGTGCTTGTATTCAATTTGAGCATCACTGAAGTACATGGATGCTGTTGGAAAGATTCGGTATTGCTTGTTGGACGAATTCTCCAAAGGGCTGGTGGGGCTGCAAGCAACTTGTCTTGCCAGCACCCAGTGTGCCTGAGACGAGGCCGGATTTCGGCTTAGGGCTGCGTAGCCACGAAATTCTGGCATCTGAAACTGCCCTAAACAAAACTGTGTAAGCCGTCCTCCATGGCTTGCTGACGGCTTTGCGGGCTAATTACTTGCCGTTTCATTTTTGGATTCGCGCACGCCTGGCCTGGTACGTGGCTTGTGGAAGATCAAAGGACAAACCTCCAAGAGCCTAGAACCCACACCCACGTCTGGCAACTTCAGGATCAGTTTTCGGACTGGGGGTGCTACCAGCCCTCTTCTCCAAACTGGTCCGAGCGCGTCGCTGTCAACGCAAAGAGTCGTTGCATTGGATCCAGGTGGGCGAACGGGGCCTTCATGTAAACCATCTGGTACCTCGAAGCTTTGTAGTGGTGTTTGGGCAATTGGACCGGGCATAGCAAAGCGCCGTGTGTGTAGCCCCTATACAATCCTACTATAATCTATCCCGAAACTCTGGCCTACCATAGTTGTTCAGCCCTTGCATTATCCAAGTGCTTGGGAGAATTGGGCACAGGATGATTCCCAAGGACCAGATGTCCGAAGGTCGGCCCATCTTCACTGCGCCCTGCTTCACAGCCTCCGCAGGACAGGAGTTATGGTTAGGTTTAGGGTTGAAGGTTTCAGGATTTGGGGCTTTGGGCTCCTAAATACTATTCGACATGGGCCCTCAAAGCTTGAGACCCGAAGTTGCGGCAGTTGTCAGACTAGCTGCTGCTGGGAGGTGCCAGAACGAAGCACCAAAGCGAAATATAGTGGATTACTTGCGCACAAGTCTATCGGCACTCCAAGACTGCATTGCAAGGTGGAGCTGTTCGTGCTTTCTCTTAATCACCTCATTGGGTTTCCTGAGGGTTTCCCAGCTCAAAACACACGTCCACTTGCGCATGACCTGTAGGACCAATGCCACACTGCCCAAAATCGCATGCCAGCCTTTCTGCTCCAGGCACGCAGAAACAGTTCTAGGATGCAGTCCATAGCTACTGGTTAGAGTAAGACTATTGAGACGAACCGACTGTAATGGCAACAAATCATGGAGATCCATTCTGAATCCCGCCTCTGGCGCCATGTAGCTAATGGTGCCCACGGAAGACTCGCGGCTAATGTTGGTGGTGTTGCTTGCGATCCTGGTGGCCGTGGCGGGGACCGGAGGAAGTAAGGATGTAGGGGAATCTAACGGACCCTAAAGTTTGATAAAACTGATCCCCGCTAAGGCCTTACAGTGTTCATTATTGAGTAGCCGCAATCCGACTCACCCCAAACCAACAACCCCAAGAAACTGCAGTGAAGGCTTAGGACCGCAGATTTCCAAGGCGCTTCAGCACTGCATTCATTACATCATTACATCGGACTTGCTTGAGGAGCACGACTGGAGCTCAAGGTAGGGGTAGTCTAAAAATGTCCAAGAGGATAGGCGATTGTTAGATGAAGTTGCTAGAGCTTCGGCGGGCCGTGAAGCACGTGTCATCACCAACTCTGAGCTTTCTTCCTCCTTCCTTTCCTCCCTCCTTCCTGTGTTTGTGAAGGTTTTGGAAGCAGGACATGCTTCCGATGCCAATCCGACTGCCAGGTGACCCCCAAAGCCCGTGATCTTGCCAGAACTTCGCAGACCAGGGTTCAAGCTCGTCGCAAATCGAAACCACGAGACTGCAACACGACCCAAAGCCAAAAATCAGAATATTGCGCGTTTCACGCTGCATGTCTGGCACATCAGAAGCCTACCCAACCGCAAGTCCAACACGAAGAACTCAATCAGACATTTCAGGACACCTGAAATGCCAAAGAGCAGGCACGCAATCATCGGAACTGAAGACGGAAGCTTCAAGCCACAATATCAAACCTTCAATGCCGTCGTCGGAACTAATTACCAGCCCTGCTCCAAAAAGACTGGTATTACGACTCCACTCTGATGTTTGAAGCCATGTTCGAACCTCTTTGCGATGCCGAAGTCGATGAGCTTCAGGCTCTGCTTCACGAGGAGGAAGTTCCCAGGCTGGCAAGGGTTGGGGTTTGGAGCTTCGGGCGTGAAAGGCTCAAGGCTTAGGGTGTTCGGGCCCCTAGGGTTTCAGGATGTTGTGGTTCAGGGAGGCTCACAAGCGATCACAGATCTTCAGCCAAGCAAACACGAAGACCCAACTCCACGCTTGACTGCCCAAAACCGTCAATGCGCGATTCCTTCGGCGTAGCTTCCGATAGTCCCTGTATACTTGCAGTGGACCCGAAAGCTCGCTGCAAAGACATGTAGCCAAGCGACAAATTCTCGCAACCTGCAAAGCTTAGGCCTGCTAGCTCTCGACAGCCATCTAAAACCATGAAACTCTCCACATGTTATGAACATTCCTCTCTTTCAAAGCCTGAACCTTTCCGATACACAGACCCCATCAGGGTCAACCCTGGGCCATAAAGCCTAAAACTCTAAATACCAAGCCCTCGCAAGGGTAAGCGCCAAACCCCTAGACCCAAGCCCACAGCCCTGAATCATTGTCACATGAAGCTCTCGAATCTCCTGTGCAAATACCCTAGACCCCTAAAGCCCTCAACTCCAAATCCCTTTGCCCCTCAAGCCAGAGCTATGCTATGCTAGACGATACTACCAGTAGACTATACCTGCGATACGATGAATGGAATGTACACGAATAAGTCTTTCGGCCTTCAGGTCGGAGTGCACCACACGCTCGCTGTGAACGACCTGTGTCCCAGAGATCCGAACTACGAAGCTGACCGGGACATGAAGGGATGGGAGTTTGGGGAGTGGGTATAAGAGATTTAGGGCCAGGTTCAATAAAGCCATGATGAGACTATCTGCTTTGACGAAAGAGAGCAGTTGCGTCTTGAAGTATCGGAGCTTGGAGCATCTTTCAGGTCTCGTGGGTAGGTCTGAATCCAATTGGGCTATCCTCGCACTATAAGCCTCTCGGACAGAAAGCTCTAAACCACTCATCCGAGTGGGCTCAGGTCCCAAACCGTGGGTTTGGGACTTTCGGGCGAAGGCCTGCACCGCCTCTAACATCTGCTTCCACAGCACCTGAGAATCGCGGCAGGTCTTGAGCGAAGGTTCGGGCACTTGAGCTACATAGGGCGTAGGGCTTTGGGTATCAGGGATTACGGTTGCGGGGTGTAGGCTTTACTCCCCACAGCAACAACAGCAACAACCAGAACAACAACAGTATTTCCTTACACCCCCTTACATTCCCACGTCTTCATACTGGATTAATGTCCCAAACAACCCTGATCCAATCATGAAGGCCCCTGGCCAAAACTGAAGGACGGCAAATACTGCACAATCCGACAAGCGCTATAGGTGCTCAGCGCTGACACCTGAAAGTCTCGGAACAAACGGCCTACACAGCTCTAGTTGAAATGCTGCCGAAGCTGCCTTACTTGACACCCCTAGATTCGTCGAGCTCTCCGTACCTAAAACCTTAAGGACCTCCTGCAGCCCTTGGACATCAGATCCCCCCAGGGAGCAGGCTTGCACCTCTCCCAAGGTGATATCCGCCTCAGCTTGAAGCAGCCTGCTGCAGAGCGGCTTTTGGGAAGGGAAGGCTTTGGACCAAATGTCGCGGTTCGGAAGTTTAGGCATCAGGGCTGACATTTAGAGGGCGATTGTAGAACTTCGAGGTTTGACCGTTTAACTCGAACCGGAAATCTTGTACACAGATACAAAGCGGTTGATGGTTTTGCTACAGTTGAACTCCAATCTTCTAGCTTAAATCGTACACCAGCATTTCTGGTGTTGACCATGGGCACTCCTGGTGCTACTGCTATTGACGGTGCTGACTACGATCACAGTTGGGCAGCCCACAACAAAAATCAAGACTTAGGCACTGCTGCGGATGTTCGTCTGGCACATCAAGTCTTCTTGCTTAAGGAATTCCTGCAATGTACTCAGGAAACGAAAGAAATGCACTTGGTGCTCATAGCTGTTACTCCGGTGACTGCTTTGGTTGCCGCTTCCGGGCCTTCGGGGTTGAGGCTTCTCTAAGCGATATGTATGTACATAATCATATGTATACAGATGTGTACATAGTTCGGGCCTTGGGGCTCTAGGCTTGGGGAAACCAAAGCTTGGGGTTTCAGAATCGCCAGGGCACGTGCTTGACTGAATATTGCTTGAGTTCTTTTCGAGTGCTTCGAGCTTCGGCCACGCCCGGTACTCTCCTGAACCCGAGGGGCCCTGACTCCCACCTCCCATGTGACACAGAACTACGGTGTTCGAGACTTTCTCCACTAAAAATGACAGAAGCCCCCTCAATTCGAGTGACGCGTAGAAACAACACTGTAGTCCCGAGCCGTTGTCTAGCGAGCTTGGACTGCCATGCCTGCCCAAATCCATCTGCCCTTCCTCCATGACCTCGTGAGCAAACAAGGAAGAAACAGGCGACAGCTCGAAGTTGAAACACCGAGGAGCCCCAAATCCAAAACGCAGGTCCTTAGGAAGACCCTATCTTTGCAAGAGAAAGCAACATTTGCTAGGGTCCAAGGTGTCGGAAGCAGACCCGTTGGCTGTCGAGATGTAGGTCTAGCTCCAAAGAACTCCTTCAAGACAGAAGGATTGACCCCTGATGCACGTCACCTGTGGCTTAACGGCTTAACAGTGTAGCAACGTAGCATCTGCTCCATCGTACTTCGTCATGAGCGCAGTTTTAGGCTATGAAATCCTCGAGATTGGCGCCGCTGACAATGGAACCAGGCCGCTGGCTATGTGAATCAGCAGCCGCTCAGGCAAAACCTGCACAGGCTTCGACGACAGTTGCTTCTATGAATTCGTGGAGGCCCACAGACTCAGGATCGATGTCATTGATGCTGGCCCAGGGCAACCATAGATGTCACCCGTTGGAAGCCGCATGAGCTTACATGCTGTCCTGCCTCTTGTGAGTATCCGTGACTACACAAGCACGGCCACAAACGAAGGAAGGCATCCATTCAACCCTCAACCCCAATACCTAGACCATAAGCCCTAAACCGTAATTTCTTGACTTCCTGAACCCTGAAGCTCCTAAACTCTAACTGCAACAAGTGAGCTAAGTGATCCTTGCGGTGGGTATCGGGCTGGGCTTTGGATCTGTGCAGGGTTAGCAGTGCCCAAGTCTGGTTTCGTCAACTTCGGCCCACTAGGCCGGCTTGCCGACAACAAGGACCCCAAAAACTCTGTGGCTCATGCATTGAGGTGTCGCGTCAGACGTCGAGTTTGCCTGCTGCCCGTCGTTTGCGACACCAGTCCGCGCAAGCCCACCACATCTTTCCAGGAAAGCTTTCTAACGGTGCACCCCCCCTAAACCTTAAACCCCGCTTCGGGAAGCATGTAGGGCCGAAACGAAATCCGGAAATGTGCTGTGCACGGCCTCAGCATCCAGCACCTGGATGATGTTCTGGCTGTCCTGCAGACTGGAAGCCTCATGCCAAAAGTATCAGGCAAACCCGTGCATGTGTCTGTGCGTGCATATTTACACACACATGTATGTGTATATATATATATATACATATGGGCATATATATATATATATATATATATGTATTAACAGGTATGTATACATATATGGAGGTTACACGCATAGCATCATACATATATATACATATATATGTATAGAGAAGCATACACACACACACATCGCACTGCTCAGACAGACCGTTACGTGCAGTGCAGTTCTTGTCGCAGTCTTACCGGTGCAGTGGGCCGGGATTCGGTAACGGCTCTCTGACTTCTGCCGTTTGGCCACATGGCGAGCTTGAACCTCCCTCAATACTTCCTCACTCGTGAAGCTTGACATCGCATTTTCACCCCACCTGCCTCACTTGCAGTCGCCTTCAGTAGTACCAGTAGCAGCAGTAGTAGCAGTAGTAATGGT